CAGGTCGCCATCTTGGTTTCAAATGTACCGGGTTTAGCCCGTGAATAACTATGAAATCTACTTTTGGCGCAGCGGACCCAAGAAGGCCGCACATCTGGACGATTTAACGGAAAGGTAAGGGACAGTGAACAGTCTGGTGGCCCCTAAGCAAACATTCCCCCTTGCTCAAATGAACCTTGCTAGCTTCGAATTTTTTATGTTTTTTCTTCCTCGATGAACTTCGTCTCCTTTCTTTTTTGTTTGTTTTGTCTTTCGTTCGAGCTCTTTATCTGTTACTGGCGTCAGTGTAGTGATAGTACGGGTGAACAGACGTACGCACGATCTCGTGATTTCCAAATGTTTTCGTATCTACAGGTTTCCATTTTTTCTTTCGCGTGTGCGAAAGCTTCGCTAATGCGAAAAGTGGTTAATTATTAATAGCGCCATATTTTCAAATTCTTGTACCGTTTTTGCAGAAATGCACCAAGAGAGAATGATCTAGCTCATTCTCTCTTGAATGCACATATTAAGCTGGTGATTCTCCTGAAGGGCAGTGAATTCACAGTTAGCCCACGGAAGAAAAATGAGTAATAATAGGCAGGGTATAGACTGACCGATTTAGAGTCGTTTTCCTTCTTCTCGCGTCTTTTGCAACAATCTTTTACACTGCACAAGAGCACTCTACAAGCAGTTCAGTTATCTTTTGAAGAAGATCAGATTTCGTGGTTCTTGTGCCGAATGAAATCTCAAAATGCTTGTAAATTTCCCTAAGCAAATTGCTTTTGAAGAAAAAAGAGTTGATTTATGTGAGCCTTCTCGCAAAGATTGTACTCATCATACATCAGAGGGCGTTTGCCAGCAATTGCTTCCACCACAGCTTTGCTGCCATTTCTTTCTCCAGGTTCCCCATCGTCCTTGTATGCATAGTCTTTAAGTACACCGAAAATAATTTTTTCAAATGATTTTGTTAGAAAACATATTGCGACAAAACTTGAGCCACTCGGCTTTAATAAACGTTCGTCTGCGATT